TCTAGTTGTACTTGGAACACGAATGGAACACTTGGAACATGCTCCTGAGCGAATCTTGGCGGGTTTTAGTAGATGGATGCAAATTGGTCCATGGTGAAAATTTAGTATTTTCTGATTTTCTTGGATTTGGTTTTAGCTACCAGGAATCGGAATGTATCATTCGATAGAGCTCATCGAGTTGTAGTTGGAATACGAGTGGAACGTTTGGAACATGCTCCTAAGCGAATCTTGGCGGGTTTTACTGCATAAAATCCAGAATGTTTGTGGTGATACAGTAGTATTATCAAATTTTCTCAGACTCAGTTTGAGTTATGGAAAATCTGAACACGCCATTCGATAGAGCGCGTCTAGTTGTACTTGGAACACGAATGGAACACTTGGAACATGCTCCTGAGCGAATCCTGGCGGGTTTAAGTAGATGGATGCAAAATCACATATGGTGAAAATGTAGTATTTTCTGATTTTCTTGGACTGTGTTTGAGCTATCAGGAATTGGAATACACCATTCGATAGAGCTCATCGAGTTGTACTTGGAACACACCGTGGGACAGTTGGAACATGTTCCTGGGCGAATCTTGGCAGGATTTACTCGAATCTGGTGCTAACTTCACCTACGTATGGTTCCTTTTCTTTTGATCTTCTTTCTCTTGCAGAGAAAATGCTCGTCACTGGACAAGACCATCGCTTCATCTCTTTTAATTTCTATTTTCTTTGATGCTTTCTCCGCCTTTCACAACGTAAGGAATCGATTCTACTGCAGAAGGGACAAATATATACATATTCTATCAATGAAAAAGATAGGACACAAGTGAAACATAATATAACTTTGCAGTAAAATATTCTCACAACTAACATAGTAGGTTTCCTAGTAGATGACAACGTCTATCTTGTTGTAAACAGAAATCTGATAAACAGTTCTAAATGAATAAACAGAGCATAATAATCTTCACACATGAAGTTACACAAACTTTACTGAAAATGAAAATGTATTTTAACAAATACAAATATTTTAAGAAGACAATGATAGATCAGATAACTTTGACAAGACGTTCCTTAAAATGATAAAAAATTGATCTTTTTATTCTAATTAATCAGATAACATTAGCTGCTCGATACTTCTTCAGATCAATGACACTTCTTTAACCACACTCTTTCATGTGTGCTGTCAATTAAACTAATTAATGTTTAAGATGC